CAACTAAAGCATTCAGAATTTGGAGGTAATGAAAAACTTGTAACATCAGAAGAAAAAATGATTCTCGTTCTTGCTTGGCTTCCTGGCACAATGCTGGGGGGCGGATTTCATTTTGTTCGGGTCTCAGGTTGACTTTAACTCAGTGTTTGTCTTTTCACGTTTGATGAATTCAAGCAATATGGTGTTTTCCTCTCATAAAAGCCATTGGAGGAGTGCTATTGAGCCATGAAGAGAAACAAAGTCCTGTTTGAACTTTGATAATGTTCAGGGGGCAAATACAGTGTGAATTTACCTGCATAAAATATCTAGAGAAGACAATTGCACAGTGGCAGACAGTAGATGAGTGGCTACCAGGGGTTGGAGAAGGCCAGATGAGGAGTGATTGTCACAGGTAGAGAGCTTCTGTTTGGGGAGATGAAAAACTTTAAGAAGTTATTTTTTCCACATGTAACACACATTCAAGTAATGAATGCACGCATGTGTATAAGGCACATGAAATGAAGGGGATGCAAGTTTGCAAAAATTGTATAAAGTGGGTATTATTTACATAAAAATGTGGTAGACGGTGGTGATGGTTGTTCAATATAGTGGTAACTGTAGTTTAAGTTCATTGAATGGTCCATTTTAAATGCTTAAGATAGAACATTTTATTTTATATGTATTTTATCACAATTAAAAAATTAATACATAAAAGCCATGGAGTTCAGTCAATATTCTGAACTTTAAAGTTACCACACAGTTTCAAAGTCCTCGTCCTGACCTCATGCACATTGAGCCTGATTTCTGTCCAGTGTCTACCAGATGCCTCCCTCGGACCTGGGCAGCATCTATTGCTCAGCCCACTTCCTGCTAAGGCACCAAGGTGACAATGGCAAGGATGCTGGGCACAGTGACCTTGTTACTGACAATGGAAGCAACTCAGCAGTGGGAACTTCCCCAGAGTTGTGTTGTACCTCTGCTGGAGTTCAGGGGCTTCTGATAGTTCTATGGGGCCAGCAGTGCATGTCGGACTGGCCGAAGCTCAGTAATCCACCTGTCTGTTTGTTAGTCTCGACCTCCTTGTCATAGGCGCTCCTTCCTGCCAGGCTACTCGTTGAGAGACACCTGTGCCAAAGCTTGTTAGATACGTTAATGATTGGGACCCTCGGATTTATAACAAGCCACCTCCTTTGTCCCTTTTGATCCTCTCTTTGCAAGTGGCTGGCTTTAGTTTGCTGGAGTAGCCACTGATCACTATCAGGAAAAAAACCGGAAGCCAGGGGTGGCAACTCCAAAGGGTGACAGGAGATCAAGGGCAGACTTGCATTCTGCATTTACTATCTGCATGTATTATTTCCCAGAAACCAGCTGGCGACATACAAGACTTACAAAATGACCTGGTCTCTATCTTCCAGGCCCCTAAGGTACACATTCCTATCAGTTACTTTTAATAACCCTGAAGATACCTCAGCCACATCCTGTTGCAAATATCCTAGGTCTTGTCTGGTAGGTCAGGGCCCTTTAAGGCTCTATCCCAGAATAAGCTGTTCTCTGGCTGCTGTGGTTAATGCATTTCCTATTCACACAGTGATCTGCCTTTCCTAGCCAGCCTTCCCACAGCAGAGGTCCAATCAGATCAAATTCCTCGCACTTTCCCTATTTTCTCTGTGCAGCTCCTGTAGTCTACTGCTTGTTTGTGAATCCTTAAAAGAAGTCAGTCATCTTTTCATAAAGAACTTTCTGAAAATATCTCAGGGACATCTTGTTTCAGGCTAAAAAGGGAAGAATTCTGGAAAGGTGCTGGGTTTTCAGCACCTTTTCAATTGTCTGATTCGGATTATTTAAAGGATACATTTCCAGTTGCAGGTACAAGAACAGTATTACCCAAATTTCAGCTAGCATACTAACCTTTTTACATTATTATTATTCTGGCATATCTGCACACCATCTGTGCTATTCTTTTCTTGATATTTCACTGGAAATGGATTTGAGTCTATTCAATCCTTACCCTAAGCAATATTTGTAAAATCATGAGTTTGATGTGCTAGTCATAGTCTTTTAAAGCATCAAAATAAATGTGTAACTGAAAAATCTAGATTCCCTTGTCTACCACCTAAAATGATCTCTCATACTACTAATGGTGCTAATTTCTTACTTTGGGAAATGTTCATTTGCAGTAAAGCTTTTAAAAAGATATTAACATGAAGAACTTCATATAACTACTCCTAAATCCAGTACTATTTCACCTTGGCCAAATAATTACTATCATCTGCTAAGGATAATTTTGGAAAGTAAAGAAATGTGGCGTATTCCAAATTAATGCAAAACATCTTACCATCTATAGGCCAAAGTTTATATAAAACAGCAGAAAATTTATAATCATAATTAAATCCTATATTAAACAACAAACCAACATCTATTTAAAAAAACAAAATGAAAACAAAACCAAAAAAAGCATATGACTTCTTTCTTTAAAATGTGGTCAATTATGCTTTCAGTCTTGAATCAATTATATTTGAGTCTTCCAGTCTGGGGAGAGCCAGTAGACACTATTGTCAGCTGGTTCAGTCATGAAGGCTGAACTAGAACAATGTAACAAATGCTCTCATCTTTCCAAGCCCATTCCCAAACCCTCCATCTCCAAAATCAAAAAGAAGCGCAGATGTGATCTATAATATTTCCATTAACCCGGCCACATTGCAGAGTTAATGGAATTATGATACAGCCTAGTGCAATCATTAAGCAAATTAAAGTGATGCATGTAGATCCTTCCTTTGCTGCAAGAGGAAATGTACCCTGTGTAAGGTCTTGCTTTATGCTAATAGATTCACTAACCAAAGACACACATGTTTACCAGAGAATACAAATAAGCAAATAAATGGGCAAACTGAAATCTACAATGAGGGTGTTGCAACAACTCCCCCACGCTCCCAAATAAGATTTACAATGAAGAATTTTAACTTCAGCGAGGTTTTTAAAAAACAGTTCTCAAATAGTTAATCTGGCTATGGTGTTTTCAAACCAATACTTTCTTTTAGTAATCACAGGAAAGCAGCTGACTAGAGCTGGCCCTCTAATGCCTTTAGTCATTCCTGGTAGAAGTCTGCTGTTGTCAAATGCATTCAAGTCGTGGTCCTGTACAGAGTGTCTGAGGAGCAGCTGGGGAGTCTGAAACTCTGAACTTGTGGTTCAAACAGACCTTGCGGTCCAGCGCTTATCCTACAAGTGCCTCACCAGGGCTCTGATAGAAATCTAAGCACCCTGAAAATAGGGGGCTTTGAGAGGATATGTTCAAGTTAAAGGCAGAGCCAGGATCAGAACCCCAAGTTCCTAACACTAGTTCAGTATTCCACACCTCCCAAGCTTCCCAGCCTTCCCCGAGAGAACATGAAGCTTCTGTTTCAGCCATTCCATGCTAACAATGTCTGTTTTCTCGATGTGCTGCCTTATTTCTCAGAAGCCAATGAACTCTGTAAAAAAATATATCTTGCTAAGAGAACATCAAAGGAGCTCTGGTAGTGTAGTGGTTATTAGTCAGGCTGCTAATCTCAAGGTTAGCAGTTCAAAACTACCAGCTGTTCCGCAGGAGAAAGATGAGGCTTTCTGCTTCCGTAAAGATTCACAGCCTCGGGACCCCTACATAGGGTCGCTATGAGTTGGAACCGACTCCACGGCACACTATCACCACCAAGAGAGCATCAGGAAGCTGTATTTGAGCTACTGTTTCCTTTTTGACATATGTTTTGTTGTTAGATGTCATCGAGTTGATTTTCAACTCATAGCAACCTCAATTGAGTAAGTAGAACTATCCCTACAGGATTTGCTTAGCTGTAATCTTTATGGGGGAGTCCTGGTGTAGTGCTATACGATAAGCACTGGACTGCTAACCACAAAGATAGTGGTTTAATCCATCAGCCGCTCCTTGAAAACCCTATACAGGGTCACTATGTGTCAGAACCGACTTGACTGCACTTCACAACAACAGAAATCTTTATGGAAGTACATTGCTGGCTCTTTTTCACATGTAGCCACTGGATGGGTTTGAACTGTCAAGCTTTTGGTTAGCAGTGCAGTGCTTAACCATTGTGCCACAGAATCCTTACATAGGCTAGGAGCGCACAATCATTACGAAAAGTATACGGGCATTACAGACCACTCACATCTAGATCCCATGTTTTATCTCATCAACACAGATGTGTCAAGAATTCAAGTGTCTTGGAACAGTCAGCTCAATAAAAGATACTGAAATCTAGAAATAGCTTATGTTACAGCTAGAACGGATCTTGGATATCGTATAGTCCAAATGCCTCCTTTAACAGATTGCTCAAGGTCATACTATTGGTTTGTATAAGAGTATGGAGGGAAGGGAGTCCTGGTGTGATGCTGTTGGATAAGCCCTAGACTGAGAACCACAGGACAGCAGTTCAAACCCACAAGCCACTCCTCAGAAACCCTGTCCAGGGTTGCCGAGTCAGAACTCATTTAACAACAACAACTCAGTGACAAATACTCCTTTTTCCTTACCACAGTATTTTCTGAAGCTCATTTTCTCTTTGACAATGGTGACAATAAAGATTGATCAAGTCCTCAGCATGTGGAATAGAAGCATATGTCCTTCCTCCTTGCTCCTATCAGGAGACAACAGGAGCCTCAGGGTGAAGCCTGCCCCATAAAAGCTCCCTCTGCACACAGACCTGTACATCACCAGGGACTCTGCTCCAAGGTGCAATACCTAGAAAGCTGGCTAATGAGAGAGGAAGTTGAGCAGCTCCCTGGGGTCTACTGAACTGAAAAAGATGCAGTAGCAAGAGCCAAAGTCACAGAAACCACCCACAGCCCAACCCTCAGTGTTCTCCCGGTCAGAAGCAAACCTCAACAACGCTTTGGCAGCTCTCTCCCACCCACTAGGACCAACACTCCAAGCAGACAAGCGTCAAGGCCTCCCAACCAGTGTGTGGGCTAAGGAAGCAACCATTCACTTTCACTGTCCCCACGTGCACGATCTCTGCAACAGAACTTACCTGTCAGCATCTCCAAGGCCCAGGGAGGTATTACGTTGTAGAGTTTCTCGCACCACAGCCATGCCATCAGGGAGCCGGTTCAGGCGCCGGGTGTAGAGGCCAAGTCCACCATCCGTCATATACCTTTAAAAGGAGAAGAAGATGATGTAATGTGTGGTCAAAGTCCTGTGTGGTCTTGTCATTCACATCCAGAAGCGGCATGAATATTATCTCCTGCTCTAAGCAGAAGATACTGAGGACTCCCTAAGGCTCTGCAGCTGATCAAAGCCCAGGGATCCTCAGCCTCTGATTCAGCCTCAAGGATCACCAGCTTGCTGGCAAAAAAAAAAAAAAAATAAAGCTCAGCTCAATGCATCCAAACTCACAGAAATCTATGAAGCAGAAGGGAACCAGAGAATAAAATGAACTGTCAGATGTATTCGTGACATTTTTTAATGTCAGAAATTATACAAGCAGGTGTTTTACCTAAGTAATGTGAAAGGAATTGACAAGTCATTAGCAAATCAGAGAGGAATACAGTACAAGGCAGTAAGCAGAGAAAGCAGACATGCTTTCAGGAGAGGCACAAAGAGAAGCATAGAGAATAGAAGACCGAGGGGTCTTGACCCCACCACCCTACCTGTGCTAGATGGACAAGCCCTTCTCTAAAGCCTGAGGTTCTCATTTAAACTAGAGGAAGACCCCAGTGAGAGGGATTGGCCCAGCGGAAGAAGCAATGGGCTCAAGCTTAACAATTGTGGAGATGGCACTGGACAGGGCAGTGTTTCCTTTTGTTGCATATGAGTCAGAACTGAGTCGAAGGCACCTAACAACATAGGAATACCTGCTGTGGCACTGTAGGATAAGCGCTGGACTGCTAACTGCAAGGTTAGCAGTTCAAACCCACCAGATGCTCTCAAAAACCCTATACAGGGTCACTATGCGTCAGAGCCGATTCGATGGCACACAACAGCAAAACAACACAGGAACACCAGGTCCTCCTTCATCTGCATTGCAAGGTAGATGAGAGAGTGTAAGAAGATGAGAAATGTGAAAGTGCTCTCTCTGCAATTTGTAAAAGACTATGTAATACATAGAAAATGTCATTATGGTTACCTGAATCATGAATCATCGACAACTATACATTTCACCTTTATAATGAATGTCTTAAGGGAGGTGATAGTTACCTAGTGCTTCCATAGAACAACAACAAAGAAATACTACAAGTGGACAGCTTTACAGGCAGGGATTTATATTCTTAAAGTTCAGGAGGCTAGCCAGAAGTTGGAATTCAGGGCGTGGCTCTAAGGGATATTAGCCAGAAGTTGGAATTCAGGGCATGGCTCTAAGGGATATTCCTTAGATTTCCTTGTGTATGTGCCTGTGTCTGTTCTATTCTTCTAGTAACTCAACAGTGATTAGGCTTAGGATCCACACTGGTACATCCTTGTTAACAGAAGAACCCCCATTTCCAAACAGGATCACACCTATTTTAGGGGGACACAATTCAATCCAAAGGAAAGTGCTTCTCACAGCACTCTGAATAACATTAATGTAATCTGCTCCTTTGAGCAGAAAATAGTTTTGTGGCATCACCATGAGATCTGAAAATCAGTGTTGCCTAGGGGTAGGAGAACTTCTGGAACTTTCTGTATAGCTATCAAACCAATTTCTGGGAGCTTAGCCAAAATAAGAGGCAGTCAGAACCACAGCAAGCGGATCACATATTCACCTCTGTCCCTTCACAGCACCCCCCCACAATGGTGACTGAACGTGTCACTTCATCTTCAGATAACAGGAAAGCAAAGCAAAACCTGGGCAGAGCCAGAAGCCACACCTGAACAACTAAATCCCTCCATGGGTCCCATGAAATCAACTTGTAAAATATCTGAAAATATACATGCTTTGCATTTTAAGCTAAATAACAGGTAGCTCTGGTAGCATAGTGGTTATGAATCGGGCTGCTAATCTCAAGGTCAGCCGTTTGAAACTACCTGTGGTTTGGGAGAAAGAAGAGGCTTTCTGCTCCTGTAAACTCGTGCAGGGTCACTACGGGTCAGAATCAACTCAACAGCACTTAACAGCAATAACAACAAGAAGATACTCATGGAAGCAGGAGTCAGGAAATCAACGACATACTGCATGAGGCAAATCTGTGGCAAAAGACCTTTTAAAAGTGTTAAAGAGCAAATATAACAGTTTGAGGACTAAGATGAGCCTGACCCAAGCCATGGTATTTCCAATTGTCTTATATGCATATGAAAGCTGGGCAATGAGTAAGGAAAACCACGGAAGAATCAATAAATTTGAATTACAGTGTTGGAGAAGAATATTAAAAGTACTATGGACTGCTAGAAGAACAAACAAATTTGTCTTGGAAAGAGTACACCCAGGATAGTCCTTAGAAGTGAGGATGGCAAGACTTGGTTTCTCATACTTTGGACTTGTTCTCAGGAGGGATCAGACCCAGTAGAAGAACATTGAGCTTGGGGAAGGGAAGTGGAGGGTCAGTAAAAAAGAGGAAAACCCCCAATGAGATGGACTGACACAGTGGCGGCAACAATGAGCTGCCACTCAACATAACACAAACGACAACTGTAAGGACTGGGCAGAACTGGCAGTGTTTCGTTCTGTTGTGCATGGGGATGGCTATGACCTGGAACAACAAATGGTGACTGGCTTGAAACCAAATCATTGAATGTTTTGCTGCATTTGGCCTTTTAGTTTTCACCTATACAGGGTAGATGTTGAGGGTTCCTAATCCTCGAATATTCTTCCACCTCTAGCTTGGAACCATCTTGGGATAGAGTCTGATAGGATTATGAGATGATGTGGAATTTGCCCAAAGTACAAGGATTATTGTTAAGTGCCATGTCAAGTCGGTTCCAACTCATTGCAACGCTGTACAGGGTTTCCATGGAGTACCTGGTGAGTCTGAACTGCCAACCTTACAATTCAAATGACCTTGTAGTTCAGTGCTTATCATACAGCACCACACCAGGACTCCTATGTTTAAGGATAGAGAAGAATGTTGAATGAGTTCTCACTAGAGCCACCTTGTATGAGAAGCAGTGTTCACCATGGGCCAAAGAAACTTTCCTTTATGGTAGTGTTATGAGTTGAACCGTGTCCCCCAAATATGTGTTCTAAGTATTAACCTTTATGCTTGTGGTTATAAGCCCACTTGAGAAAGTGTTTTCTCTATATTAAAGTGGCAGTATTAGCGGAGGAATGCCATAAGTCAATTTCTTTTACGATATATAAAAGCAGATTTAGCAAGCAAGCACAAGCGGAGGGTAAGATGAATGCCACATGATCACCAAGGACCCTCGGAATAGAGGTAAAGAGATGAGGACTTTCCCAGAGCAGACACTGAGAGAACACCTTTTGCTAGAGTTGGCAACTGAATTCCGACTTCTAGCCAACAAAACTGTGCCAAAATATATTTCTGTTCAATACAGCCACCCACGTATGGTATTTCTCTTACAACAACAGCACTAGATAACCAAGAGAAGCAGCTCTGAGGATAATGTATCTGAGCTGAACATCTCTGATGTTTGCTTCCCCTTTCCCATCTAGGGCAGCGATGATCACAAATGATGCAATGCCATCATCATAAAAAAAAACCAACACAAATCTGTGAACTCGGTTAAATCAGTTGTTTGGGGTTGTACCAACAAAACAGCACTGAGATGTTCACTGCACTGTATCTCTTTAAACAGGCCCTGGTGGTGCCATGATCAAAGCACTCAGCTGCTAACTGACTGGTTTGTGGTTTGAACCCACCAGCTGCTCCAAGGGAGACAGACATTGTGTGTGCTTCTGTAAAGATGACAACTTTGGAAATCCTCTCTGGGCATTTCTATTCTGAACTATAAGCCTGATAGCGTCACTATAAACCTGAACTACTTGATGGTATTGAGGGGGTATTACGTTAAAAACAAAAACACACTCTGAATATACTAAAAATCAATTCAACTGTGCACTTTAAAATGGTGAATTTTATGGTGGTGGTTGTGTGCTGTGGAGTCACTTCCAACTCATAGCAACCCAGTATAGGATTTCCAAGGCTGTAAATCTTTATGGGAGCAGAAAGCCTCATTTTTTTCCCCCCCAGGGAGAGATCAGTAAATTCGAACTGCTGACCTCATGGTTACCAGTCCAGTTTGTAAACCACTATACTATCAGGGCGACTTGAATTTTATGGTACAGAAATTGTATTACAATTATATATATATATCCATCTGTCAACAAGCAGAGATGATGATGTGGAGAGATGGAGCAGCTGGCGACTCTAGACCCAGAGAGAGAGACGGGCTGACGACTGGGGGACAGTCTTGCAGGGTATACCCTTTGGTTGGTTGATGATGCATGGAGGGGATTGTAACCATGGCAATGAAACGATATACGATAGGATGAATATAAAGCTAATGTTCTCCCATGTAAACTATCACATAATTCACAATAAAACATAAAAAAAAAAAGATGTAAAAGAAAGCAGACAAAATAAGGTAATGAATGTAAAATGAAATGCAATTTTAAATAGGATAAAAACGGAAAATCAACTAAAAAAAAAGATAATGGAATTTTGGACTCTAGACTCATGGGAACAGAAAGGCTGTGTGCTGGTGGCCAGGAGGCAGGCTTGCAGAATGTGCCCTTTTGTTGTTTAAATTATTATATATTCTGAGTGTTTTTGTGTACATCAAACACAAAAACAAAACAGAGGGAATAAAAGAAAATACTGTAAAATGATTTAAAAAAAAGACATATGGCAAAGCAAATGAAACACTCTCTGTCTGCCTGTCCATCCATCCACCCATCCAACATCCTGACCCAGGGTGCAGCAGTAAACAAATTATAGAATTGGCGCAAGGGGTGGGGGAATGGAAAATAAAAAACCACCTACAATCAAATGTATTAATTTTGCCAGAGGCTGGACTTTCTAGATTAAATGCCTTTCCAAGGAGAATTCAGTAGAATCTTTTCAAAACACTATTGTGTTGCATCATTAAGCAAGGCAGTTAATTTCGATTTCAGCTAACTCTGCCCAATCAGAGAGATAAACATCAATTTTTCAACTGGGGAAATCTTGTCAAAGGACAAACAAACTAATTTTAGCATTCATTTCCCTGCTGGATTTT